CCCCAGCCCACAGTTAGCCCAATCGACCTTGAGGGAGGCTGCTTAGGCTTAGAAGGGGTGCAGCGCGTCCGGGGGCGCTGCGCCCCGCCGTCACGACCTCACCGACGAGAGATGGGGTAGCGGGCAGATGTTGAGCGGTAACGCGCGGCGATGTGGGCGCCGCTGGGCATAGAGGGTGGCTATGATAGGTGCTCAACGATGCAGAGAGTCAGCGCTGTTACTGCTACTGTAGGACATACTCTCTATCTCCTAACACTTGAAAGCACTTGTAGTGCCATCTCACTGCCGTGTGAGGCGGGGTAAGGCTCTTTACTGGGTCTTGCATCGGGAGGAATCATTTGTGCTCTTCTTCTTGCACAATTTGGTGGAGGAGGTCGGCCAGGAGCAAGAGGGAGAGGAGCGCTGTGTGTCCCACGAGATGGGAGGAGGAGTGGAGGGGGATAAGGAGTGGAGTGTTTGAGACTGTTTTCGTCTTCGCGACATACAAGCAGCAGTATCAAGCAACGGGGAGAGGTCGTTTATCTGCAGCATAGGGCTACAACGACAGGCATCATCATCAGGGAGCTATTCGTCATCTTCATCGCCTTTATCAGCATCAACAGGGTAGGTTTCAACTTTAACACCATGTTTAGAGGGGCTGCGCGATACTCATCGTAAAAATTTCATCATCGGCGCTGCTCGCCCCTTTTAGTATCTTCACCATCATCATCATCCGGTCATTAGCACTAGCAGCATCTTGAGTTAGCGCAAGGTGATGGGCGCGATCATCATCATAGTTATTATCATCTTAATCATCACTACCATTATCATCATCATCTTATCAGCATCATTATCATTACCAATATCATCATTATCATCATCATCAACATCACTATCAGATTCATCATCATTGACATCATTTAGTTTCACTTTAACATCTGTTCTGAATCGTTAGCATATTTGCAGGAATCATCACGATAATTACATAATTTTGTTCCTTGACTATACTCTTTATTAAATCCTGAGGTTTTTTTGAAGTCTACTACCATAGCTTAAATCCTGATAGTTTTTCCGATAATTACTTTCTGTTATCTAAACTGGTGGGAGTAGTCATCTGTTCATTGGGCGCAAGGGGAAGGGGAATAATTGTAATAATCTTTACTGCCGACCTGCGCCCTTTTCAACGGGTCCTTTTCAGAAGAAAATTCCGAGTTTATTCCTGGGCTGGATCGATTATTTTAGAAGGGTAGAATTGGGAGAGTGGGGTGGATAGGGAGCGCTATCCTGCAGGGGATTCACARGRAGGGGGGTGAATGTCTCGRAGAGGGTAGAAGCGSAGTTGGGGGTTTGTCCTGTTTCTGGGGCTGGGGTGGTGGGAGGGGTCAACATCGTCCTCAGTGGAGGCAGAAACGGGAAAGGGGCGGCGAGGGCATGTTTTAGGAGGGAACTGCGTGTCCTCGGGGACAGGGGTGGAGGGGGTTGGTCCTATATTGGGGCTGAGGGAGAGCGGGACGCTCGCCTCGGCGGGGGCAGTGTAGGGCGGAGGGGGTAGGGGGAGGGAGGGCTGATGTTCTTTTGAAGATTTCTAATCTTCCAGTCCAGTAATTTCTTGTTCGCCTCTCGAGGAGGTTGTTGGAATAGGTGATATCTGGCAAGTCATCTTCGATCCTGCGTAAGATGGTCAAAAATTCGGTGGCCCTTGAAGACCGACGCTGGAGCAACGATGGCCGGAGCCGGAGCCAGGTGGCGCAACTCTGTGACCTAGCTTAGTGGGGGCGTGAGGCCTGGTAGAGAGATCTGGGGGACTGTTTGCGGGGGCAGTCTCAGTGGTCATCGGGGGTCGTAACTAAAGCAATGCTGGCCGGTGCTGGAGCAAGGTGGTGCAACTCTGTAACCTAGCCTGATGGGAGCATGAGGCCTGGAAGAGCTTCGGTTCGTGCTGAAAACGGCCATGCTGGTGGTGGTCGAAGGTGGATTGAATAGGTTTCACCTTATCTGATTCGTGGTTGGGAGGCTTGTTGACACACAATTTCTGAATGTTTCTTATTTTTCCTTTTCTTCAATTGTTCTTAGCCGAAGCCGGGTAATGGCCCCGGTAGCTCATCCTTGTATTCTGATAAGGGACGCTGGGCCC